CCGGCGATCGAGCGCCAGCCCTGGGGTTGACATTCCAATAGTCTGCGTTAAAGCCCGGGCACCAGGTGCGCGAGGACCACTGGACGTGACCACGCGCCAGGTGCGCCACCACCGCCGCCGAGGGCCTTGGCATGTCAAGGATGGCGTCCACAGCTTGGTACTAGCGTCGATTTCGGGCGCATACAGCGTGCCTCGGTGACGTCTTAGTACGACAGGAGTAAGCGATGACAGGACCGCAGAGTAAGGGGAATGGTGGAATGGTGGAATGCGTTGGTATGTCCCATTCCAAACAGGTGCGGGGAGCGGACCGACATTTGTGAAACTGATGAGAGGAGAGTACACATTGCATTGAATCAAAATAGCTTTTAATGATAACATACGTTTTAGGCGTTATTTTGAGTAAGTTCTCCGTCACCGACCTTGTTGACAGTTGAAACATGCACCAGAGAATATAACAAGATAGAGAAATGGAAACATTTCTGATCGAGCTTGTATCTTTCAAATTCCAAAAAATTTCTCTTCTGGGCTTTGCATTCGTCTTTGGGCTTCGCCCAGAAATTTGTACCAAAGGTTAACCGACAGAAAAATCAAAATCTTTAATATGTCTTTTCCGTGCTGTCAGCAAGGCCAAAGGACCAAAACGTACATTCACATTGGAAGTTCGTTTTGATTCTATTGAATACTTAGAAGCCTTTACATTCCACAGGCGCTAAACCATCGGAGAAGAGTGGGGCTGAACGACGTGTTTGTCCGCAAACATTAACTTCTGATGGTTTGTGTTTTTTTTAGCAGCTTTGGTGGTCCTAGACCCCGTCTAGTGAGCTGAGACCACAAGCTAAGCTGGATTACAAACATTTCGTGGATGAACGAAGGGGATGAGCGGACCCTAGCACTTGTCTTTACCGGACAGATGTAAAAAAAAACGTTCTTTTCACGTCTGCTAGTGGGGACAAATATTGAATTTGGCAAAATTTGAATGCCCGACAGATACAAAGCTCTGCCTCCTAAGGGGTTCACACACGGAAATAGCGTGATCTTTGAAAGACACCATTGGTTACAAATGCACTTCGCATTAATCTATCACCCTCACAGACCACGCAGATTCTGGAAGCTCCATTCCAAACGAATGGAAGGGAGTCTAAACATCGAGACCAGTGTCATTTACGAGACTGGCTTGTGGAATCAGAACTGTGTCACAGCAAGAGCCACGTCAGGCAAAGCGGGGGCCGTCAGCCGTGTGGAGACCCGCCATCGCACCGTGCGTCCCGTGCATTCGTCGGCAACCAACGACTGCTTCAGACCTGCGCCATGTTAGGTGGTGTGAGCTGATTTCAAAATCCACCAGTTTTCTTTACGGGTCCTTGGAGACCACAACTCGTCGCTAGGATACATGGCCCCGCCCTTGAGTACTGGTCGTGGGATCTCCATCGCCTCCATCGCCCTTGAATACTTCGTGGGATGTTCATCTCTAAATGACCGCGGCTTCATTGGTTCATCGAAGTGCTGAGGTCGTCTACGTGGCTCCCGTCCATCGGAATCCTCCTGACGTCGTCTCCGCGACCCTTGTCCATCGGAGTCCCGAGGTCGCCCCCGCGGCTACCTATAATTCATCGGAGTCCTGAGGTCGTCTCCGCGGCTCTCGTCCATCGGAGTCCTGAGGTCGTCTCCGCGGCTCTCGTCTATCAGAGTCCTGAGGTCGTCTCCGCGGCTCTCGTCCATCGGAATCCTGAGGTCGTCTCCGCGACCCTTGTCCATCGGAGTCCCGAGGTCGTCTACGCGGCTCCAATTCATCGGAGTCCTGAGGTCGTCTCCGCGACCCTTGTCCATCGGCGTCCTGAGATCGTCTATGCGGCTCCACTTCATCAGAGTCCTGAGGTCGTCTCCGCGGCTCCCGCCCATCGGAGTCCTGCGGTCGTCTCCGCGGCCCTCGTCCATCGGATGCCTGACGACCTGCGGTCTGCGGTCTGAGATTGCCGAGTCTAAACGTTGCCTCATTCGCACCCATTGCTGTAATTCATATGACCTTTGTGGTACCAAATGAGTGTCGTGAGCGGTACTGTACTGTCCATCAGACAACGTTCATGGAATCCACCGAATGGCAGTTAACCTTCCCTCAGTAATGGGGCCTACTTCACGGACGAAACCCCGGCGCTCAGCGGCCGTCTGTCGGGTCGCACGCGGCTGGGGTGGTGGAGCGCTCGCCGCTCCCGCGGTCAGCCTGGACCCAAACCGCGCCGAGCCTGCGGCTGCGGTGGTGGAGTGCCCGGTTGCTCCCGCGGATCAGCCCGAAGCGCTCACCGCTCCCGCGGCCAGCCCGGACCCAAACTGTGTCGGGCCCGCTGCTGCGGATTCTGCTGCACCGCACCAGCCCAGCCAGCCTGGCAGCCACTCAGACATCGGGCTGGATGCGGTCACTGGAAGATCTGAGCGAGGACACGTCGCTATGACCACATAATTCATCCCTTTAACACAATCGGGACTAGGAAAATGTTCACCAGTTGTAGTTCTAAAACAGGCAGAAGATTTTGGTTCTTAACGGCTTTCAAACCGGTAGCAGCTGTAACCGGTAACAACTGAAATTTGCGTTCCCTGTGGTCCCTTTTGCGGCCTGCATCCGGCTGTGACGTTACGGATGCTTGAGTGATTACGCTCCAGCGCTTCCATTACGGACGCCGTAACAGTAAAAACAATGTTACTTAGTAAGCACCTAATTACTTGACACCTGCCATACCCGTGTTATGACTATATTGCAAAGCTATCACGGCGTAGAAAGAAAATGCATACCAACACGATAGATACTACCTTGAGAATAATGTGATGCAATTTTCCGCGAATTAAATTTACCAGCTACTTTTCGGATAGATTCAATGTTCTTCAAATTAATGAACGTAACGAAAATTTCCTTGTTTTGCCCTAAAATGAGTTGGTAATCTTGACTCTAAGTAGCTTGCCGTTCACGACACATCTGAACAGCTGAAATCCTATCATTTTTTGTGCCTTGCCAGTCTTGTTCGGAGCTCACTTTTGATTTTCGTTGATCCAATTTGTAGCGTCGAGCGTAGGTCGCGACTACCCCATTACCTCGTCTTATCACCTATCTGTTGCGAATAGCCTTTCACTCAGTCGCGTGGGGCCAGCTCTTCTTCAGGCGGTCCCTGAGGTATTTCGTCAGCTGTGTTCTGGGCGCTACTTTCGACCTCGTTTTGTTTTGGGATCTAATCAACGGAACACATATGTTTGAGCGGAAACCTGTCAGTTAAATGCTCAGAAAACGTGTAGGGGAAAACCAAGACGGGTTTGTGATTTCATGTTTTGTCGAGCGTAAGGTTATAATTCCATTGAGAAGCTGTTTTGCCACTCAAACTTCCAGACAGCCGAAACATTCAAGCCTCATCCTTTGCTTTTGAGCGTTGAGTTATGGACCCAACAGTCATGCAGTCATCATGTTAGAACCGTTACGTAATATGGCACTCGTCTGCGAAAGATCCAAACTTTACAGGACTTAAACGGCATGAGAACATTACTGCGGGCGTGAAAAAATGTTCGATAAAAAACTAGCACATAGACTACGCTGCAACTTCCTGCATATTTACCTGACAAACTACTTTGGGTGCGGCTGTGTCCATTAATGTGACTGGTCACGTGGCTGATTACGTCACAGTTCAAATAAGACATCCCCAAATCCTGGGACATACCTTTTTTGTCTTCATGTCGTATGTTCTTTGCCCTACGTAAAAAGGCACTAAGCTTTTGCCCAGAAACGGCTCGCGCCGCCGTCTGTATTACATGGAGAGTCCACCCTTAACCTTAAAAATGAGCTGCCGTTAAAGGGCCTCAACATCTGACCAACGTCCTTGTGCGCTACACCATCAGGACCACTGCTAGTAATTAGGAAATGCCTCCAATAACATAATCGTAAGTCGCAACCGCTGTTTTCATAATTGACATACACCGGCCATGCACCGGTCCGTTATAAATATACAGAAAAAAGATACGAAGTATATTCTGTGCGTCATTAAGAACGATTGAACATACACCAACGTAATCACAAGCTGTCATCACCACACTGCACAGATCTAGCCAATAGCACGTCGCTTTTCGCAGGTCGTTTAAAACATCTCACTGGCTTAAACTGTGAAGGACAACGGCATTATCAATTGTCTGCGACTGCAAGCGCGTCGCACTGCTTCACTGTGACGCATAGCTGTATTACATTCTTAGAAACTTTGAAAATATAACACTGGCATTAAGGCGCATCCCTAATGAAAGCAGGAACGAGACTGATGAGCCTCATTCCAGACGAATTGATCTTCTAAACCATGCTGAGCGAAACAGCGCGATGCGACAACGACGAGAATGCATTGTTTGCGATGAGGGGGCGGGTAATGACACCATCCTCAACAACTCCTCTCAGAAAGATTCTCAAGATCCTCACTGAAACAAGCCGCTGATGCACACGGCTCTATCTTGATCACCACAGCGCCGACGCGCTAGAGCCACCGCACACCGTCGTCACCGACGACGAAGCGTCGCTGCCAGACGTCGGCGCCGGCGTCGACGCGCGCCAGCACGGCGCCCGGCTCCGGCTGAAGGCGCACGGCGCGTGTCACGGCCGCCGCCCACTCGGCGCCCATGAAGTCCCAGCCGGCGGCGGCCGACAGCCGGTGGCGCGAGGCCACCACCACCAAGCGGCGCTCGCGTGCCAGCCGCACCAGCCGCCGGCCCAGCTCGCGGTAGCGCGCGTCCGCCCGCTCGCCGACCACGCCCAGCGCGTGCCGGTCGCTCCAGTAGAAGGCCGACAGCGAGTCGACGGCCAGCAGCACGAGACCGGCGCGCTGCTGCAGCTGCGCCAGCAGCGCCTCCAGCGTGACCAGCGCCTGGTGGCTGCTGGTGGCGGTCAGCAGCTGGAGGCGGGCGAGCGCGGCGCGCGCGGCGGCCGGCTCGGCCAGCCGCCGCTCCAGCAGGCGCAGCAGCCGGCGCGGCCGCACGTGCCGGTCGGTGTCCAACAGCACCACGCCTGAGGTACTGTCGCACGCCAGCGCCGCCGCCACACACTCCTGCACCAGCTGCGTCTTCCCCGAGCCGCCTGCAACACCATCGGATCTGATGGAACCGTGTTGGCGGCAGACGAGCCACGCGCCGCCCGTGGCCGCGGTGGGTGATACAGAGGGTCGCACGGTTACGTGAACGCAAAGCCCACCAATGGCACGTCTTTGCCACAGCTTAGTTCAGCCGATACCAGGGATTGGGCCTACTAAAAACTCATCGAATTTCGTCTTTTACACAATAACACAAGAATTGTTGTTGCAACTATGCGTTTGCTTATCAACTGCAAAAGACAAGCAGAAAATAATCCATATCAATTTTTCCCAAAGGTGAAAGAAGGAACGTGGGCGGCATATCATCATCTGAGCCGGGATTGCGCTGAGCGCAACCGGTATGCCCATAATCTAAAGCACTAAGGCAATTTGGTGAGCAGACTACACAGCCATGGCTACCAGCACCTGCGGAAAGGAATGCGCTTTTGCATCGGGCCGGGCGGCGGTCAACGCGGCATCTGAGCGCTTTATGCTTCACAAATGAGCCGGGCAGGTCAGATACATGGGCCCAGGGTCAAATGACAACGGATTTGCGCGCATAAACCGCACGCGGAAGCGGCGGAAGGCAAGGGCTCTGGAAGCACGGCATTATATTTACATCTTGGACATCCTAAAGAAATAATCTTGGAACGCTGCGCGACGTTCGTATTACAAGCTATTGAGTTCAGGCACGGAAGCGTTGGGAATGCATAGAGATGAACGTCTTTTTCCAATGATGCAGCTTGGATGAAAAGAACAGCATGTCCAAATAAATGTTCGCGCGTTCTACATACCGCCCAGTGGTCAGCGGCTCCTGTCTCATGTTTCTGGGGGCGGCAAGCGACTACATGGAACGATAAGCGCTAATGTCTACAAAGATGCGGAACGTTAGTCTAATTTCTATGTCAAGCTCAAACTAGGTTCTGCCACATGTCTCTGCATATGAGTGGGGCAGCTGGTAATGTAGTTCAGAGCAAAAGGAATGGGAAATCACGGCATTTAGTTGTGCCTGCCAGAGGACCCAACAGGTAGCGCTAGTGTGCGTCCTGGACCGCGTAGGTGGCGCCGTCTGGTGGCTGCGTCAGCTATGCTGCTGGCGTCCTCTGTCATGCCGCGCTGCTGCGACTGCATTTGTCTATGGCATGATTGCGACATGCAGCTCATCATTATGTTTGCACGTAATGTTGTACATACTGTTGATGCGACATACGTCGTTACCAAGTCCCGGGAATCCCTGAAGCTAACCTGCCCAGAACGTTGCACACAGCACGCCCAGTTGCCACATTTCAAAATATGGACCTTAGTGGACTACAGCGTAGTCAGCCCACACGGCCTGACAGAAACGCTGCGCCCTCTCCCAGTCTGCTGTCGCCAGGCTCCTGTCTTTGAACACAAACACATATAAACATGTGCTGAGAAACAGGCATAGCACATCACAGGCAAGCCATGCAGCACCACTGCCAGCCATGGTGGCCACCGCTGACAGTGACAGCCATACTCACTGGGGCCGCTGATCTCTATAATGTCTCCTGGGACGGGGAACTGGCTCCACAGCTCTGAGAGCACCAACGTCAGGTCTGGTCGCGGCGCCAGACGGGCCAGAAGGTCACGACCCGACTCCGATCGGGGGGAGTCAGTCATCGTGCCCTGAAAAAGGCGGGTCCCGTCTTTTACATGTAACCGCTGCACCTGGAGAAACGTAGCAACATATAGTTTGCATTGCAACAGGTCTGTTGGTGCCAATGAAGTAGGAAGCTGTCGCCGTGCCAAACATTTTACATGGCATATAGCAAAAACATAACCCATCATCCTGGCAAACTCTGAACGTCACAGGTATTCTTGCACGGTCGACAGCTCGCGCTCCTGGCATCAGATTGCTGAAACACGCTGCTCGCAGCCAAAATGGCCACGACAGCTGAGCGTAACACCACAGCAACTTATATATCAAATCGGAGCATGAATACATGAGCATTGGGAGGGCAGTGTTTCCGCTAAAACTTCGAGGAAATCAGCCGTTCCAAAAAATATTGAGTCGACGGCGAACTCCGACACTGACTTAGTCACGCGGTTGCTTCTCACCAGTGCAGGCGTTCACGGGACCAGGCTATTAAAAAATCGTCATTTGCTATGGATTGGACATAACTTTTGAGAGAAGAATGACAGGCATTTGGTGCCAGCAAATTCCCACACAGGATATATTGACACTTTCGCGCTTCGTTGTGGGCCGTGACGCTAACGCCAAAATGCTGTGTAACGAAGCATCTGCGAGCGCAACACTTTGGGGAATAATTGCAACATTGAGGGAAAGTGCACTTCAACAAAAAGGACGACGTGCAGCAGCAGACCTTGCGGTAGCCTTCTACACATTCGAATTACGCAATAGTTTCGGGGCAGTCCAATCTCTTTGAAGATGGTAACCAGCATGCAGAGCTATAGACTTAAGTCAGCACAATGAACACAAGGGCAGGACTTCCTAAACATTTAGGTGACTCAGGACCAGAGTTCAGCATTGGTTCAGCTTCCAGTGCTCTGATATTTGGGCATGTGTAATCCATTTTTCGGACTTTGTTATAATTTTCAAAGTATGCATTCTAGTAAATATATGTGGGGTAGGACACACACAACCTTGCATCTAAGCTGCTGATAAGAAGGGCATCAGGTCCAGGAGGAAAATGGTTTTTGGAAGGCTAGGAAAGGAAATCAGTTCACTTGTCAACCACATGAGCATGAGCAATTTATGGGAGCGAGTTTGGCGATTTTGTTTTCCAGCAGACTGAGAAGAAAACTGTGGCCCTTGCCCCTGGTCTCGCGGAATATCTTGTGTTTAAAGCCTTTTGAACTTCGTGCTGTCAAGTTCCAGTGTATAACTGTTTTAAGCATGGGGGCAGTGGGACTCTAGTACGCCATTGTCGTAACGACATCACAGTGCAGTTCGCGACCTCCAGGACGCGAAACTCGCGCCAATGGGTGGCAAGAACGCGAGCATGTACCCTCAACCACACATGCTAATACTAAAGAATAATTAGGTCTAAAATCTGCCTATGTCTGGCTTCTGCAGGCTTCTTATTGATGTTAAAGGGCAGTTGGAAAATGTTCATTTGTTCCCTCATTGTGCATGCATTTTTCTGCCTTGAAATGCAAAACTACCTGTGAATTTGGTGGAGGATTTTTGGTTTTCAACACAAGGTAAAGTGTGCCTCTGTTAAGACCAAATAAGCATTTCTTATCAACAAATTGTATCTAACTCCTTCAATTTGAGTGGTACATTAAACATGTGAATGTTTCAGAACTTATAATAAAGTATGACACAGGTATGGCATTACCATTAGATGCAGCATATTTCATTTGCTCTTGGCAACAAAATATATGTCAAAATACTCAAAAGTGTATGCTGGTGGTTTTCCAATGAATGATAGGGATTCTGAAGCAACTTCCCAGCATCCCAGAATTTATGAAATTACTGTTAAAATGTGAATTTACAAATTTCTAAATTGCCCAGTACATCCAAAGATTTTGCACCATCCCAGCTCTAAATGAATGGTTTTGGCACCCTGTGCAGGGAATCCTCAGACATATTCTAGTCCATTAAGCCCATCATAAATGCATATTGAATTGTGTCATATATGTATGCATTATATATATATATATATATATATATATATATATATATATATATATATATATATATAATACATATATTGCTGACTCTTCACAATTATTGAGGATTGTACCACTACCCATTGAAAGGACTCACTGGTTTTATTTAGCTGCTAGCTTTAGAAAGTAATGTACTCACACCTGTCTATTGCTTCCACAGCAAATAACTTTATCACCAGGATGCACAAGATTGCAGAAAAATAAAAGCAGCACAATTAGGTAGCTGCTAATCACAAAAAACATGGCAATGGTGCAATTGAAACACTTGGGGTGTGCCACTGCCAGGAAAGTATAATATAGTAGCAAAGTTATCATGCAAATGTTGTGGTAACTGACTATCAGCACAAAACCCTCACATATTTCACCAACACAGGTGGGTGACTAGGTACATCACCTACCAACACAGGTAGGTGATGGAAAGATGGTTGCCATTACACCACCCTACTGAATGAATATTTTTTAATAAAACACTACACTGCAATCATACAAGAAATTTGTGTCATGCATGAATAAATTAAATAGCAGGTGAAATACTTCAAAAACTTATATTATTTAACACTGCTGTAATAAATACAAAAAATACATGTCATACATGTATGAATTCAAGGGCATGCAAAACATTTCAGAAACTAAAAATTTTACAACTGATTTGATTACACTTCACCCAAGATGAGAAAATAAACATATAGGTAGAGGAGGCTGCAGTGTCAATCAATGCTGGATTGTCCTACATTTGGCCAGTCTCAAATTGTCGCAACCTGCACCAACTTCTGCCAAACTAATGTTATTGTCCTCTCAGATCTTTGAGAATATTTGAGTGCCATGGGCAACAGCAGCTGAGAAGTAAACCTAAAATAGAACCCTAAAACCAGGGGTTTTTACACCAGCTTTTTCGAAAATCGCGCGCATTTCGCTTCGGTTCGAAAGACATTCGACCTCATACCGTTACGCGGTAAGTCGCCTGTCTTATATGTATCTATTTGTTTATAAGTTACGTCACACTTGGAGGAGGGATTTACCGATTACATCATCGATTTTATTGCTTCGATTATAAACTCTCTCCCCGAGAGGGTCCGAATGAGTGCATTCGTTAGATAGCCTTGAGCCTTGAGTGCATTGATTATGCGTTATATTTGTATCTTGCGCGCCATTTCTGACAGGCATATTCACATTGAAATGCTGCATAAAGAAAAGCGCAGCACATCGAATGAATAGCTCTGCTGGGATGCGTCAATAATGTTGTAAGAATGGTTCCAACCAGAATGTAAACTATGATATCATTCTAGAGAGGCCTTAGCATCGAAGCGAATTTAGGAGGGCAACAATCTTACCACTTTTGTATTTCATGCTTGGCCCAGACACGGTTCACTTCGGGCGCTCCTTCAATGTACCGTGAACGTTATGAACTGTGGGCATCATGATACGTACCCTATAGGCAGGGCGTCCTCGAAGACCGATTTGGTGCAAATTTACTAAAAGAGACGATTTGTGTACCTTATCAAAGGCTGCTGTTAAGTCTAGGAAGAGTACACTGGTGACATCTTTCATCTGAAAGTAATTTTTTTGAATGCCGCCTATATGTTGTACAGGGTAATTAATGCCGCCTATATACTGCACTGAACCGTCTGACCGGAATCTGTTTTGGTGTGGCGAAAGAGGGTCATTGAATTCGAAATATACCACGATGCGACCGTTTGTCATCCGTTCAAACAAGTTAGATCACAACTGGTCGAGGTGATAAGTATGAGACTAGAGGGATAAGAAGGAGGCTTGCGAGGGTGCTAGAGCGCCAAGTTGTGCGTCACGCGTCGGATGTCAGTCCGCACACAATAGCCCGTAAGGACACCATGCCAAACAATTGACCGCGGGTGGTTGCGCCCAATGTTCGCATGTCATGTGATGTTCCTAGAGCATTGAATTGCAACGCACGTAGTTCAGTTGCTGAGTTCGATTATAAATTATGTAAACCCTTCGCAATTTGCTCCCCACGCCATAGCGGTCGCCTGCTTTTCAACAGTGCGCCGTGCAGGGTCATAAAACATTGGTGTTGGCAGCCGGGTCCGATGCTTGGGTATCGTACAATATCATAGACCCAATGTTAAGAAACGCCCACGGTTTCACCCGCTACGTGCATTTCAACGTATCGCGATCTTTATAACTCCGCGGCAACGTGTACACTACGCACCGACTAGCCGCACTGATTTAGTAATTGCCATGCGTGGGTCACATCAAACAGCTAGGCCCAGGCAGCCATGTTCGATGTCGGGTGTCATGTAATATGCTGGAAAAAGTGCACGGCTCCGCTGACACTTTTATGCACAAATATGCTGGCAAATTTTAAGTTATTTTGTATTTTGATCTTCGAGCTCCGAGCTCCGAGGCCTTGCGAGCTTCACGTTGATCACTAATACACCGTGCGGAGCTCCTGATTGATGCTGATATGAATAGCACTATCAAAACAGGCACTATCGCGGTTAAATAGCACTATCAAACAGGTGCCGCGGATTAGGAGCGACGTTCGGGTATCGTGCGATAGTGCTGAAGCAGTGCTATTAGATGTGCGGTGTCTGAGTTGAGCTGCGCGCTAAGCCCGATCACAAATATTCTCAAAACGCCGCCGTAGTTTGTCATCCATGTCTGGAGCGGCCGCCCGCCGTTCAATAAACGTCATGCGTAAAGCACAAAGAGGCGCCGGCGGCAATGCCCAGTGTTTAGGTCTCATACGACACCCCAGAGTCATTGCAATCCGAACGGCCGCGGTGCCATTGTCCAGCATGTTTTATTTGAGTGCAGCCGTAGTTGTGGACGATTCGGCGGACTCTTGGCCACATTCAATAATGCGTCGTAAGTTGTCCTATGAAACAAACGGGTGCCGGCGGCCGGACCCGATGTTTGCGTGCCTTGATGTAGCCCCGATGCAGTGCTATCAAATGAGCAAGGCCTCAATGGCCCAGTTGGATTGCAATAAAAGTTACGACGTTGCCGAAGTTTACTCCCTACCCCTAGAGCTGCTTCTCACCTTTCAACGATATACCGTGCGGTGGTAGATCTGCTGTCGCCGGACTTGGCGACAATCCACCAGACAATGGCGTTGGTGGATCTGCTGTCGCCGGACGTGGCGACAATCCACCAGACAATGGCGGTGGTAGATCTGCCGTCGAAAGCTGGGCTTGAGCACGAGATGCCTTGACTCACCCCCGGACTCGGGCTCATGTTGCTGCACTCAGGTTCGTTCTTGCGCAGTACGCACCAAATGGTGCGTTTGCTTTCAAATTATTTTGTTCTGTAGTTACTGTTTTTTCCTCGTCTTACTGCACGTCCGCTCATGCCTCAGGTGAACTCAGCAGCCGAATAAAGCGTGCGATATTTGAACAGTTTGACGAAAGACAAAAAAAGGCAGCAAGTCCATTACTTAAGCCATGTCTCGAGTCTCCCATCCCGGTCCAGCGCATCGCAGCACGTCGTGAACCTGTGAGATGGCGGACGCCCCTTGGTGACCTGTGAGCCGGTGGGCGCCCCTTGGTGACCTGTGAGATGGCGAGCGCCCCGTGGCTGAACGCGACGCTGCTCCCCTGGAACACACCTCGCCGCCGAGCGCGCCCGCCGACTCCGGCCACACGCCACGGATCGTGGCGCGGTCTCTGAACTCAGTACAGTCTCAGACACTACACGAGCCAAATTCCGGCGTGAACGGTGCTCAAGCTAATCAAACTTTCCGGCTCTTGTAATCTTAGCCATGCACCAGTGCCGTGCGACGACCGCGCGCACTGAGCAGCGCATCTCTGGCTCCACAATCTCTCAGCTATGACTGCGTTGGTGGTCGCGATAAAATGAACACTCATCTGCGAGTGGCCTTTGACAAAGCATCTGTGACTTTGGCTCTCTCATTTTTCACCCAGTGGTGTTCAGAGTGAAATACCACTGTAAACCGGATTTCACCGGATGACCTCATGCTGATCCAACAAATATCCTTTGTCGTCTGCCCACGTCAATCTTGTGAAGACCCTGGTTTGAGCGGTCTCCACAATTTGTCTACTGTTTGGTAAATAACGGTATAAGGCGAGCACAGTTTGGACATGAAACTAAAACTGCGAAATTCGTCTTCTCAGAAAATGCCACGGACAGCCGTAACAGCCGTAAAAATTCCACGATGAAATCATGTCTATCTCGAAATCATCCGTCAGCGGCACAAAAACAGGCGAGATTCGCACACAGAGCATTCTATATTGCATTTCAATAAAGCATCTTCAATGACACGTGATCAATATGTACATTATTACTCAGCAGTGGACACATGCAGTCTACATCGCAGCACCAATGCATACGGACAACATTTATCGAACGATAACTTGATGACAAATCATCACTGGGTGAAGCAGAAGTTATTCACGACACTCAGAGGCTGAGTAAATAAACATATTAGTAAACCACCTCTAACAGGGCATATCGATGTCACTAAAACAATATCACAATTGGTTTGGCAGCAACAGTCCCCTGTTACCAGCTTTTTGAAACAGGAATGTGACCAAGCGCACACACGCGTCTCTCGAGCATTACGGTTACATCCCCCAGCGCGTAACGACGGACGGTTGGGTCCAACACGTGGGACCGGCCCTCGGCATGAGCACCACTCTCGCCCCAGAGAGAGCTCCGGCGTCCCTGCCGCGGCACCAGGCCGCGGCCCGGCCAGCGCCCAGCGCAGCGTCAGGATCCAGGGGCGAGCCCGGCCGCCGGGCGGGCTGCCCACACCAGCCGGGCCCGCTCCCACCGGTCAGCGCCCTCAGGCGGGCGTGGCCCGCTCCGTGGGCGGGGAGCCGCCGCGCGCCGTCTCCTTCTCGGCGCGCAGCTTGCGCTCGCGCTCCTGGCGCAGGAAGTCGCCGGTCATGCGCAGCAGCTCGTACCGCTGGCGCAGGTGGCGCGCGCGCACGTGCTCCGACATGATCTCCTGGCACCGGTTGCTCGGGAACCAGCCGGACGTGGAGTCGAGCAGGCGCATGCCCTGGTACCAGCCTGGGGGCACGGCGGCGGGTCAGTCGGGCCCAAATCAGCCGGGGCAGCGGCAGAAACGGCGCCACTGCGCAGCCGGAAAGTCATTGTAATTCCCCTCTGGTAATGCCACATCCGCAGGTAAAGCCCGCACCTAGTTCACCTATCCTGTCATCCAGTGCCTATCAAAAGCGCCAATGAATCCAATAAAATGGTGTAATCGTGTGTTAAACGCACATGCAAAGTTCACATGTGTGTCCATAAAATCCGTCTTTGTTAACATGTTCAAGATACCTATGAATGCACCAATAAATGCATTGACGATTGACTATTCAGTGAATTTTAAGTTCATTTTATATCAATGCCACATCACATCATGGCGCATCACCTTGAAGAAAAGACAGACACAAGAAGTTGGCACATTCCTAAAACGGTAACTAAAAGAACCTTCCCAATTACGGCCGACTTTCTAGCAAACGTTATGCAAAATTCAGGCAGACAAAAGAGTGGGACGGAGTGCGATGGTGCCAAATGCCGTGACTACGACGGGAAGAACGTTGCGTTACGCAATTCCAGTCAGATGGATAGCAGCTGATTCAAACCGACAGTGGACGCATCAGAAGGACAAAACAGAGCGCATCTCTACCACAGACGGAACTAGGTCTGGCATATGCATAAGAGCACAAAGCGCGTCAGAACGACTTCAGCCAAGCAAAATGGAACAATAACACCAGGCGAACAGAATCGACAAGAAACACCACGTCTGGTCAGCATAGACTTGTCAAGAGCACAGATCAGCGCACTGGTGCGTCCCGTCCATCACGTGGAGCGAAAGGCGTGACCGAAGGCGCGTCCGGGCGATCGCGGCAACGTCACAAACCACGCCACGCCGGCAAACGGTGCCCCTTCCCCCCCCCCCCCCCCCCGTTTGCCGCGCCCTCCACCAAAGCCACCACGGCGTCCCTGCGGGCCGCAGAGCAAAGCAGGACCAAGACTGGAAGGCAAGCGGTCAGCAGACGAGGCTGGCTTACGGAGTGGCGCCGCGTCTCTGGTCGGGGCCGCCGAGGTCATGAGGCTGCCGCGGCCGCACCTTGGAGAGCAGCCAAGCGTTAGTCGGCGTCCTGCCGCGCCGCGTCACAAGCGGGTCCGAGCCGCAGCCCGACCGAGACCTCGTCTGACCCGCGACCTCGCCTGGCCCGGGCTCCAGTGTCCTTGACACAGCCAGCATCGCTCCCCCGCCGCAGCACCGCCCCCCATCGTCAGCAAGTCCGCCGGCAGCCGTGCTCAGCGAGGGCGTCGCGTTAGCGCCAGGAGCTCAGAGGCGGGCGGATAGGCCAGGCAGCGCGCGTGATGTCGGTGGCGAGCCGGCGCGGAGCCGGGTCAGCAGGCAGCGCACTCACCGTCGGGCACCTTACGCAGCACCTTGAGCACGTCGCCCACGTGCAGCGTAATCTCGTCCGGCTGCTGAGCGGCGTACGGGTGGACCGCCAGCACCTGCGGACAGTCCCACGTCTCGTACACGGTCTCGGTCTCCGTCTTCTGCGTCTTGGGCGTGACGGCCTCCACCCAGCGCACGCGCTCCGACTCCACCGGACAGCAGAACAGCTGCAACGGGAACAGAGGCAGAGGCGTCAGGTAGGGTGTGGCAGCAGCGGCTGTCACTGGGCTAACGATCCGCGAACGGGCAGACCGCACCACGCAAGAGCCAAACCAGTCAAGCATAGATAAGGCTTGTTTCCACCACATGGCAAAGGCAACTGTATCTGACAAACAGAGCACACAGGAATCGATGCTGCCAAGCGCATCACTAACGGGACAACATCATACGATCAAAGATGTCCGGCACGTGGGAGGGCCAAAACCCATTTTGATGCAAGTTCTGGTCAGGGATCGGTCAGTGCTAAGCATCAAAAAAGTGCATGCGTCTTGTAGTATCAACCATATGCAACACAAACGACAAAGATAACATTCGTGACGCATACGACGGTTAACAAAATTGATCAGAAAAGGAGCAGGAAACTCTCGGTTGTATGGTCCCAGCCGGAGCTGGCACGCACCATTTCGACCGTCTTGCCCTCGTGGTTGCTGAGCAGCGTGAGCAGGAACTTGTCCGCGCGATCCTCGGCGTTCTCGGTCAGCTGCACCATGTTCCGCAAACAATAGTCCAGCACGAGGTAGAAGCCGTCACTGTAACCGACGCCAGCCGCCCTCACCCACTGTGCGTAGTGTCAAGCGTGGACAGAAGATTGCTGTTGCGTTTGCTCCACAGCAGACATGCATCTTTTGAACATTAATCATTGCTGCGGCTCGTTTACAGGACTTGGCAAGTGTGAACGATAAGGCCCATATGTGTATAAGGTGAGGTGGTAGGTAACGGGAGAGTGGGATGAGGGAGCAGGTGGGATGAATGTTGGATAACGCGGCCAAACCCACGCTGTCAGATCAGAACAGCCACAGGCAGCAATATCATTTACACTTTATGATGGGTTTTATCAGTGTCGTTCTGGCCAGAATGTGCTCACGCTTATTCGGCACCGGGGAAAATAATCACCTTTTCCTCTTGGAGATGATCAGCAGGTCGTTGAAGAGGAACATGTGGACGGTCTGTTGGCGAGCCTGTTTGCGACCGAAGGTCAGTTTGGAATCGTCCGCCTTGCAGACAGTTCGCACCAGCTCGCCTTTCTTAACCAGCCACCTGTGGAACAAACAGCTGTTTCACGACCTTGCCGTTTGGTGTGTACTCTGATCGCATATTGTACAATAACAAACATGAGATTATTATGACTGAAAACCTTTGCATTCTAAGTAACGACGAATGCCATGCAAGTATGAATGCAGATAGAACGAGCTCAAAAATCCCAGCCTTCTACCAACCCAACCAAGGCCGCAGCCAGGATTTTTTACATGAAGTGGCGGAATCCCCCCCCCCCCCCCCGGCTGTGCCCCTGAATCCAGCGCATCGTTCCTCAAAGCGACCTGGCATACAGACCTGCTGCCCGTGACCAGTGGGAAGACCTTGGTGTCCTTGAACAGCAGCTGGCGGCTGATGGATACCAGCTCCTCCAGCCGCTCGTTCCGGCGCGCCTCCTCGTTGCAGTCCTTCACCAGCTGACAACGGGCGAGGGAACGTCCGTCAAGACACCGGTTCCATTCAGTGTGGCGTGGAATAGGAAACGCCTAACTGAATCACCAACGCGTGGTGATGCCGTTTGATGATGCTTACAGAAGGCTCTTCCAGTATCGCATAGTATAACTGAGACGGTACCGCCAGCCTAAGACTGAGCTCGATCACCTTTGGAACCATGCCACGGCATGGCTCGAGGAGCTGACCTGCGTGAGCGTCTGGTAGGCCATCTGGCAGCTGTTGTACTCCGGATGTCCGGGCTCCAGCCTGACCAGGATGGCCGACACCAGCAGTGGCAGCCGCGTCACCCGCTGCATGGGCAACATCAGGAACGAGTGCAGGCTGAGGCTCTGGCACTGGGACGACGATTCCAGCCGCCGCAGCACCTCCACAAACTGCGGACTCTTCTCCCTGAGAACGGGATTGCGCCCGTCTCAGATCTGTCCACGAGCGTAGCACCGGGGCGAAGGACTTAACCCAAGTCATTAGTTGCATTATAACAGTCAGTAGCATGACAGACTTTCCAGTGTCTCGTCACAATAACTGGATGCGACGTGTCTATGCGATGGCGACGACAAATACTGGCAGACCGCACCCACGCACCTGAGCTCCTTCAGCTTTCTGTCCTGGATGATCTGGTTGGCGCAGTAGTGTTTGTACACGTGGAAGTGGGAGGCAGCGTGAGTCTGGATCACCTGACACAGGCCTCGCAGCATCACGTCCTCCTGCCAGCGCCGCTCCAAATCCGTGAGGAACGCCTCCGAGCACTGGCGCACTGCAAACCAACACCGCGTCACGTATCCGCCAGGTGGCACCAGGCGCACCGCAAAAGGGTCGGGTGTGACGCACGCGTTATGGGAGCGTGGAGACAGAGACAGACTTGTTTGGGAAGCACCCCATTTGTGGCTATGCATCCCTCTAACTCACAAGGCAAAAGTGAATTCACAGCAACAAGCAAAGGTGAGCGAAGGTAGCCTGTTCGAGCCCCTTTGCGGCGTCCTAACCTAACCTAACCTAACCTAACCTAACCTAACCTAACCTAACCTATGCTACCTTTGTCAGCGTTTGAGAACAGGGCCTGGTAGTCGGCCTTGTTGAGGATGCAGTCAGGCGACTGGAACTGGCACAGGGTAGGCTCCTCCCTGAAGTGTCGCACCAGCACCGACAGCGACTTCTGGTAGGAGGCCTCCGAGCTGACCACCTCGAACATGGCCTCCTGCAGCCGCTTCTCGTCGCTGCTCAGTTTGTCTGCCAACGCCAGGTGTCTCGCGTCCAGACACTGCGCTGCTCCGCTGTTAGCCACTTATTTTGAGCTCTGAGTGAGACATCATATGCACTACAGCTACTCAATAGAGGTTAAAAAGTTACGGGTTAGGTGATTTTACGGCTTAGTTTACTGTTTACAGGCCAACAACATCGGTATATTTTCGTAACTCGTGTAGCTTCCCAATTTATAAGCTATGGCAATGATCTCACACACATCAGAAATCGATCGCCTTTCGACTTAAGTTAAAAAGTGACAGCGACAGTAACAGTTTGGCAGTTTGACAGTGGCTTACAACTAAAGGGTACAGCAACACTCTCAGACATGCACACCGTCGATGGTCCAGCCGAGACGATGCCTTCCCGGCCGGCGGCGCCACTCACCGAGGATGCCGCTGTTGATGACCTCCGGCAGCTGACACCAGAGCGATCGCTGGCCCTCGGCCGGCGCCGCCAGCAGCTCGATGGCTGATGGCCGCGAGTGGAGGCGGCGGCGGGCCGGCGGCGGCGGCGGCGGCGGATCCTGAGAGCCGGCCGCCGCGTCCGGCGGCGCCGCCTCGCCGTCCGGTGGCGACTCGCGGATCGTCTCGTAGTCGTCCTCCGAGCCGCCGCTCACCGACTCCTGGTAGCAGCGGTCCCGCAGGTACACCTGGAGAGGAGACGGCGTCAGACGTCGCACCTGCTACAACAGTCGGGCTCGAAGAGGCAGACTTGCTACACCTGAGGTCAGCATGCTTCCTGCATGCTAACCTCAAGTGTAGCAAGTCCTATGTGTACCAGGTGACACATCCGGATGCCACCTGGTAAAAACGGACATGCTACATGCCTACAAGACATATGCCTGCTGCACCCAGAGAGCCCAGTAGCAAAGAAGCCACCCGCCCTGTGGACAGTTTTGCACAGGTACTGCCAAGCGGGGCGAGGGCATGACGCATGGACAAGGGCAAGGCGTAGCTGGCAGCACAAAGGGAGGCTCTGTCTAAGGCAATCTAGACACTTACAACGCACTATGTGAACACTGGGGCGCAGTTCCAGGCGGGGGGAGGGAGGTCGTACCTGGTAGAGCGGCTCCTTGTCGAGCAGGCTGGTGTACTGCTCCTCCTCCTCGACCCCCGGCTCGGCGGCGACCGCGGCCGCATCGGTCGACAGCATGTACTCGGTGTTGTCGTGGCTGGAGGCGGCGGCGCCCGGCTCGGGCCGCGGCCAGGCCGGCTCAGCTCGACCGGCAGGCGGCGGCGGCCGCGCGCCTCGCGCCGCCGGCGGGGGCAGCGGCGGCGCCTGCTCCGCGTCCACGGAGGCCGAGTGGCGGAATGGAACCGTCGCCAGCGGCCGCGCCGCCAGCTGCGACTGCGTCGACAGCGAGCGGACCAAGCCGGGACTAGACGAGTCTGCCGGCGGAACGGCGGCGTATGGGGACGGCCGGCGCCGGAGGCCGCGCGCGCGGTTGGGGTCGCCTCAGCACGGCCTCGAGACCCAGGACCCTCCGCGGGGAAACGGTCAGCGGCAGGAAGGAAGGCATCAATGCAAGATCGCAACGAGCAGCAGTGCCGCGTGAATTATAGGTTTAATGGCGTGCAATGAAACGGAGTGCTTGAATCCTGCCCTGTTTGTCATGGATTTTGAGCGCTGGCGTAGATGCGCTGTCGTTTCACCTGGTTCTGATGAGCACGCCGCACATTTCAAGGGTACTCATAGTTTCGATAGCAAAGTTGTTCTAAGTAACAAACGCCACATCACTGCGATAGGTGACTCCGCTTGCTGTGACCAGTCACAGCGTGACGGAACACATCACAAACACACACACAACGCAACAGTATGCAGGCAGTCACATGTGCCGCACCAAGCACACCTTTGCCCAAGCTAACATAAAAAGCTAACACCAGCACGCCGAGAATGTTAGCAAGCACGAATCGGGTGTAATCCGGCAGGATTAACACCCAGAACCGAGGTTTAAAGCCCCACGTAAGGTTATCAGTAAGGGTAAATGCGGAAAGCATTGGCGCGAGAATCTCCCCGGGAAGACACTTTTCTTTAGAACTGGCGTCGATTCCGTCTCCGGGAAGAAAGGTCTTTCTGTCTTTTTGACCGGATCTCAAGCTTAAAACAAATGGTTGAATCCATTGCAGTGTCCAGCTTTCCAGGAATCGCAGTCCGATAGTGGCCAAGTTCAGCAAATTTACAGCTATACCGCCGTTGAACAAACAGAAAAGACCGATTAATGGACCAACGAAGGCTGTGCAAACACTAGTGCTATCGCAGGCCCGTGTGCGGTGGTTTGCAGCTGATATCACGTCTGTGGGGGGGGGGGGGGGACACACACCGACCCGTGCCGTGTGATGGGGCCGTACCAGGCGAGCGTGCCGGAAGCGGTGAGTTTGCGGAGGCGGCCGCGGGCGGCGCTGGCGGCGCCGGCGGCGCGGTGCGCGGCCTGACCAGGCCGAGACTGGGCTTACGCGCGGCGGCCGACGAGACGGCCGACTCGCGGGACGAGCTCGACTGGCTGGAGGGCAGGCGCACGCGGGCCGCCTCCGCCTGCTGCAGGCTCGACAGGCTGTCCGTGTCCGACCGTCTGCCGGGAGCGGCGCGGGCATGATCACAGATGGCGGCGGCGGCGGCGGCGGCGGCGGCACATGCGCGCGATTCAAACGGACAGCTGCGCGGTCATTGGCGGACACGGCAGGCGCGCAGAACTCCCGATAGACAGCAAAAGGTCACGGTGACGGACACAAATGGGCTTGGAATGCTGAAACACCGCGGCAAACGTGGCTTCAAACAGTCTGAGAGGGTCAACAGATCACGACTATCGACGGTATTCTGGTCACACACTCACACACCAGACCACAGGCGCCAGTGGGATTCGGAGCCGGCAGAAGGGAACTATCGGATGGGAGCGGCGTTGAAGAACCTCGGGTTCACAAGCTGGGTCAGTTTCTGGCTGGCGTACCCAGCCTGATAGCAGTGCCTGGGGCGGACACTGGTGACCAGCGTTGAAGAAAAGCATGCGCTGGGAATGACACCGTTGCTGACATTCTGTTCCCACCTCATTATAGCATCCATCGAAAACTTGATGGATACACATCACCAGGCAGAGGGCATGTTTGAACGCACGGAAACATAGACTAGTCCAGTGCAAAGTCCAAATGTGAACGAAGCCGCCAATGTTGGCAATTGGCAACATGGCATATTTGAATTCGCGGCAATACTCCGCAAGCACACGCCGACCCTACGTAAGTACATGATGTGCGTGCATGGCATGGGTGTAACTTTTCAGGGTGTGTGACACCTTGGAAACGGCCGTGAGATATTCGTAGCGCCTTGGTTGTGATGTTTGAAGTTGAACCGGCCAGTTGAGATAGCTATTACGTTGGACAAAGCAAAACACCCAGACGAGAAGCCAGCAAATGCAGCAAGACCCATTTTTCTTAGCAGCAAGGACTTTCAAGCCAGCCTCAATACCACAGCGGAAATCTGAGATAAATCTCCCATCGTTATGCCTCATTCATGCTTTTCAAATGACGAGTCAAGGTTTCAGGGTCCCGTAATGGGCACTGGGAGCAGACAAATCAGGGCACGCAGGGAGGCGTATCAGGAAGTGATACAATCCAGTCAAGGCCCGTGTGATTGTCTGAGCGGAACTGATCCAAACTGGCTCTGCAACAAACCTGCAAGGCGTGAAGGTAGCCGGCAACGTGTTGCGAAAAGGAGGACATGATGCGAGAGAACATATGGGTGTAGGAGATCGTGCAGGTTGTAGCGTGAAGGATGCAGGAAGAGATCATAGCTGGGAGCGGGACTTCGTCGGCCTACCAGGTTGTTGGTCGTTGCTTCAAAGAAAAAGGGGAGCACCAATACAGCGGCACGATTCAGCATGCTTCATTCTGTTCGGGTAATGCAGACGAACTATATATGCCACTACACACAAAAGATATTCGGAATTGAATAATTTAACGAGCATCATAGATGCCATTGCGAACAAAAAAGGATATGAAGCAGAAAGATATGATCACGCGAGGCGAAATCACACGACACTACGACGGCGTGTCTACATTAGTCATAATCACGACCATTGAGACGCTACGTGGCGTGGGCAGGGTGGCATAAGGACGGACGTAAAAACCGTCGATTATTGCCATGTATCGTCCTTGTCATGTATCGGTAGCATTTCCTGTGAAAATAAAATCATCACCTTTAGACACCCATGCATTACTTTATAAATCACATCGCAGGAAAATCGCCTGCCCGCCGGTGTGGGCAAGCCTGGCAACTCCAGCCAGCGAAGCCGATAAGCTCGTAGTTATTTACATTTTTGGCGACTGCGACCAAAACATCGGGAAAAACGCGACTACTGAGGGCGGATATCGGCAAGAGTGAGCGAGACCACACGCCACGTGGTTTTCATGATCCAATATCACTCGGCTTAAGCCGCAACCTTTTTGCATTTGAGACCAGTCCCGAAAAATGAGAAGTGGGAGTTCCTTGGTCGATTAGCGGTGTGCCTATCAATCGGAAAATGGCGTGATGGCTTAGTGATTCGTAGGCGGCGCGAACACGTACACCGCGCAGCTGGTCTTGAGCCTCAAGCTGCTCCGATTGCCGAGACGTATCATTAATCATTAACGACGCTCCAGAACGCCCGGACCACTGGCCCACGCTTGGTCGCGCGTGACTGGCTGCACGTATCGACCGACGCGTTTACCAGCACGAGCGAACCGGCAAAATGCGTCGTTTCCTCGTCGGGAAAACGGTGTTGGCTTCGTGCAGCTGCGACGCACGCTCGTCGAGATCCGAGACCGAGTTCGATCTGTGCTGTGCTGCCTTTTGGCAAGCAAGCAAACTTCGCGTGTCACATCTAAATCAAATGGAAAAGGCTACGTTTTGATCATGTTACGAAACAATTATTTTTAAATCAATCATCGAAAAATCCTCAGGAGACAGTCCTTATCATTGACATGTCCTGAAATTTACGCAGCAAATGTTCCAAAAAGCTCCGCATCCTGCTTCCAAAAACTGCAAGATGCTGCGATCTGCAGTTGCAAAGAAATCGGCTTCACATAACGTGGCAACAGGGCCGAGACAGGTCGAGTCACCCAAATTCACAATTTCCTCCCTATTTAGGCAACGCTCGCTCAGTCCGGCGGTCCCGCTCCTAACCACTGCTATCCACAGCAGCAGGAGGCCGGCGGGCGCGGCGGTGTGGGCCACTGACCTGACCGAGGACCGGTTGGAGCTGGGGTCACTCTCGGACCGGACGTCGGGCTCGGTCGCGGCCGGCAGCCCACCCGGGCTGGATCACCAGGTCCAGGTAGAAGGTGGACGAGTCGCCGCTCGGCGTGATCACGCTTGACACGCTCTTCTTCTTACGCAGGTGGTTCTTCAGCGACCACTTGGGCTTCACAACCACGGATACTGGAAGCAAGCGACTGGTTAATCACAATGCAGACGCTATCCAGTGATCTGACGCGAAACTATGCCAATTATCTGCGGAGGAAACTTGATCTTGTCGCTGACAACGGCTGTAAGACCGCTCAAGCAAAAGAAACTGCAGCATAACCACCGTCGCTCCGCCAGCCTGTGTCCGAGAGGCAGCCGGCGCATAAGCCGCTCTTGGCCCCACGTTATCTGATGTGGATATGGGCAAGAAGGAGACGGTATCGCTGTGGAGTGCGGACGGCTCCCTCACCTGGCCCTTCGGGCCCGGCGGAAGTCGACTTTTTGCGAATTCGACTGATGCCCAAACGGATGTCAGACTTGGTAAGGTTCCAGTTCTTCTGCCATCGCTTCTTCATGTCCTCGGCGATCTTCTGCATGCCGTTCGACGGCTGGTCCTGGTCCATGTCCTGAAACAGATGGAAAAGTGTGAAGTTTTGCTCCATGATGGAGTCACAAGTGGTAAAGGAACGCAACAGGTGTACTCTTCTGCAGTTTTCACAGTCCTCGTCCGTCCCCTATACGCTCACAGTAGCCGTCGTGCAGAAGCCTTGCTGCCGACACGTGACGTGACCACGGCTGACAATACCCCGATCAGGCGGTACCGAGATCGCTCCTGACTGTGCGCGCCCGCACTACATCTGTGTGTTCTAAGTGGAGGGCCGTGACGGCCGCCAGGGGTGGCGTGACAGCCCCACACGGGGAGCGCCGTGACAGCTCCCATACGAGGAGTGTCGTAACGTCGCCACACGGGGAGTGCCGTGACGGCTCCCGTGCGCGGAGTGCCGTGACGGCCCCCATACGGGGGGTTCGGTGACAGTTCCCATACGGGGAGCGCCGTGATGGCTTTCATACGCAGATCTGCAGCGAGACCGCGCTCGCTCGCCGACGCAAACACAACTATCGCTCGAATCCCGGCCATATCGGCGGTGGTCTCGGCGGAACGCCCGAGCGTATCGGATCGTCTACTCTGCACAAGCTGTCAGTAGAAGCAGTCCTAAACGTGTTGTATCCGAGCGCAGGAACATACTCTCATGAACGTGTCGAACGTGTCCTTTTTGTAACGTTTGTACGTTTGTAAGGGTTTCGAGCGTGTGTAAGGCACCCGATCCGTTCCCATGTGTTCCGCCGGCAGGCGGACGGTCGGGGACAGATGGCCCGAAGTGGTCTGAACAGACGGGTCGGAGTGATTGCTCCCGTTCCATGCGGCGCGCGTCGATAATCTGTAATCGGGCGGTCTGCTGCGCCGATCCGTTACCAACATCTCACAACTTTCTCCGCGTTGCCACCTATTCTGCTCGGCGAGTGATCGTTGGTTCTCTTCAGCGGGGTGCTGGCTTGGCTCCGGCGAGTGTTCGTCGGTCTGCCGTCCAAAGACAAAAACCCATCTGTTCAGTTTTTGCCGTTTTGAATGTTTGGTGTTGCTTGATTTTGCTTCTCAAGCTAAATTCTGTTATGTAAGCCATTAGCTGAAATTTTAATAAACTTTTAGCTATTTCTTTAACTAAAAGCTTGTGAAAAAATTTAACTGGCGGTTTTAATAACCGAATTTGGTTTGAGAAGGTCAATTAAATGACACCAATACCAAAAATGGTCAAAAATAAACATATGGGGTTTTGCTTTGGACGACAGCGGTGTTCTCCGCTAGTGCTTCGGCATATACCGGCATTCGGTTGTAACGTGATTTGCCAACAGAGAGGGAACTAGACGGCTGTCTTCAGTTCCATACGCGACAAAGATTCAGCAGTCTGCGCAAGCGTAGACGCTTGAACAAGGCCAAGTTTACTGCTGCGCAGACTTTGTGTGCGATACCGCAGTTTTGTCCGCGGCAATGTGCCAGCCCTCCCTACATCAAAGTTGCTCCGTTCTGAAGATTATTGCAAACATAAGGCAAGTTGACGTGTTAATGTGTACTGGCACCTGAGGGCTGGCCTAGCCATAGTGCGTGCTGACCATCAGTGGCCAGTGGCTTGTGACCGCTGGCCTTGGCACTGCGACTGAGCCAGCTGAGCTAGCCTATGACACCCGGCTGATCTGTTTCAAGCTCTCGTGTTCGCAGATCCGGTTACAGGCCATTTAGCGCGCTCCAATTACAACCAGGTGGCTGTTAACGCGCTCCGATTATGACCAGGTGGCAGCTAAATATATAGGCGTAATGAAAACTCGACTGTGCGGGGGCGACAGATGCTCACGCGCCCGGCAAGGGAAAGTCTTTCCAGGTCAGCTCCCCCACTCGGGTGCCATCTGCCGGCTGACGCAGCCGCCACGGCTCCTTCCTGCCGCGGCTAGCGCGCTTCACGCCTGGACACTGACACCGCAGCCCGGGGCATTCTCCGGGTCTGCCGCGGCCGAGACCGGCACATTCTCCGGGTCTGCCGCGGCCGAGACCGGCACATTCTCCGGGTCTGCCGCGGTCGAGACCGGTACATTCTCCGGGTCTGCCGCAACCGAGACCGGCACATTCTCCGGGTCTGCCGCGGCCGAGACCGGCACATTCTCCGGGTCCGCCGCGGCCGAGACCGGCACATTCTCCGGGTCCGCTGCAACCGAGACCGGCACATTCTCCGGGTCTGCCGCGGCCGAGACTGGTACATTCCCCGGGTCTGCCGCGGCCGAGACCGGGACATTCCTCCGAGGTTCTGCCGCGGGCCGAGGACCGGGGCATTCTCCGGGTCTGCCGCGGACAGAGGACCGGGGGCATTCTTCCGGGTGTCTTCCGCTGCCGAGACAGGCCACAATTCTCCGGGTCTGCCGCGGCCGAGACCGGTACATTCTCCGAGTCTGCCGCAGCCTGAGACCGGCTAATTCTCCGTGTCCGCTGCAGCCGAGACCGGGACATTCTCCGGGTCCGCTGCAACCGAGACCGGGACATTCTCCGGGTCTGCCGCAGCCGAGACCGATACATTCTCCGAGTCTGCCGCAGCCGAGACCGGCACATTCTCCGGGTCCGCTGCAGCCGAGACCGGGACATTCTCCGGGTCCGCCGCAGCCGAGACCGGCTACATTCTCCGGGTCCGCCGCGGCCGAGACCGGCACATTCTCCGGGTCCGCCGCAGCCGAGACCGGCTATTTCTCCGGGTCCGCTGCAGCCGAGACCGGCACATTCTCCGAGGTCTGCCGCGGCCAAGACCGGGACATTCTCCGGGTCTGCCGTCGCGAGTACTGGCATGGGTGTAAGCCCTGGGGGCGGGGACGTGACCTTAATTTCTTATTTCGTTTCCAATGTTCCCTCCAAATTTCATATTTGTCCTCAAGTTTTCCGTACAATGGACGCTTTTTATATCTTATCATTCAAAATGTTTCCCATTCAAATTTTCCAAGCAACTTTGTAGCCGCAGACTCCAGTATGACCTCTCCATCCAAATCCTGGCATATCCCTGCAATCTAAGAGACGTGGTTACACCTATGGACACCGGGACACCCTGGGTCCGCCGTGTTCACGACCGGAACACGAATCCTGTGCGATCCAGGTTTGGCGTGGCGGGTACCGGGTTTATTGGCAGAATTACTCCCCGGCTGTGCCAAGATGGCTGCAAGGGAGGACTGGCCATGGCAGACGACTCGAGGCTGCCGCGACGGAGCATGATTTTCTTCAGGTTTACCTTTTCAGGGAATGAATCATTCTCAGGATCTGCTGGAGCTGTAAATGGTCCGATATGGTTGCTAAATGGCCCCGCTGCCACACAAAGCAGGACCCCTCCTCGTCCAGAAGCCGTGCAGACTGGTGCTCAAGCGCACACGGAGGGGTGATACGGTGGCACACAGGACCAAGCCGCCAGCGGGGACCATCAGCAAGAGCCGCAAAAATGGCCGGTCCGAGGAGGCCCGCCTACAGAGCAGGTTCTCCACACGGTGCCGTGCGCAGCCCACCGGGAATCCGCGCCCGCCCCGACCACCCAGCGCCCGGTTTGGTCACGATGAGCTGGCCTGCCGGAGCTCTGTACAAGCCGGTCGGCCCACTCGGCGTGGGGAGGGCGGCAGCGCTGCCAGAGACGGGTTTCGCCGCGCATGCTGAGGCCTAAGCCCGTGCGGCCGGGGTGGTGCGTGTTGCGTAATGCGCCTTTGACAATTGATCTCAGCCGGCCCGCAGTTTCCCAGAGATCTCACGCGAAAGGTTGCGAGAACACAATGCATAAAGCGCAAGTAGAGAAAATGTCTGGCTGTAGTGTTCGCGCTTTCCCGAGCACGTTCCTCTCACAATTGCTCTTGTCTGCATACGCAGGTGAAATTTAGCGTGTGCTTTCCAATGCGAACCATATTCTTTCTTGCATGGCGTCTGAAAAGATGTCTCACAAATGCCGAACGAGTGCCGTATGTTTAAATGCCGTGGAGTTTAATGCGACAGAAGAAGAAGAAAATCCTCAGCTTGCAGTCAATGTACTTATCGCATATTCTGGATACCGGAAAAGCGTTGAACGTAATTGATGCTGACCCCAACTGGGCACAATTACGATTTTAAAACTTCAGTGTCATTAAAAAGTGACAAATTAGCATGCACGCAAGGATGGATCTGTGCCTTTAAACTTGATATATTCCATGCAAATAATTTTGGACTGGCAGGTCTCTACGTTTGGTGCAACCCTAGCCCGTGTCTTCCGGCAGTCGTTGCTCGGTCTCGTCGAATCCAAACCATGGATTAACACTCAGTCCATACATGTTATAGACATGGTTATAACAGAACCCGTACAAAAGTCGTGTTTGATAATCTCGTGTTAAACTTCGATCTGCGAGGAGTTCTGGTAGGAAAGGGAACGGGTCCTTTTACTTGAATTTAAAAATCACAAGCTGCAGGCCACGATCGCAACCTCTTGCCGACTAAAAGTAAGCTAAAATGCTTCCGGTGTACCCGACGGCGGAGGCCAGCAAGATCTGAGGGTCACCTGTTCATCTGACGATGCAACGGCTGTAATCCTACCAGCTGAGTAGCCATGACCGCTGCACTAAAGCCCACCCGATCCAGCCAGCCACCGCGCCAGACAAACTGCAGCCTCATCATCAGAATCACATGGCCAAACAAGTCCAGATCGCGGTCGAAAAATGCCGACGCAGCGCATCTTTCTGCTGGCAGGAGACCCTCTTCAGACAGAAAAGACATAACACTGTTTCAAGCGTGACCTCAAAGCCCGTGGCCACAATGAGTGGGGAACACTAAAAGAGGTCGGTATGACAGAGTGGTTGGAACAAGACTGCTTTCATAGCAAACGTTAACAAGTACGCCCATTCTAAAAAAGTGGTGCGTCTGCTGGCTATGTCTGCCATAGCACTACCTGCCCATGCCGGTGGTGCTCCACCCGCGGCTTATTTTTTAGCTTTCGCACTCTATTTTTCACTTCCCTCGGTCGGCAACAGTTGTACGGCTGTGAGCTCGCCCTCGTAACCTCGGGGCACGGCCCTCCTGCAGGAGTGCGCCCCGCCACCAGCCGCCCGTGGCGCCGAGAATCTCGTCATCTACCGGCGTCATTCCGCGAGTGCCCAAGAGCCGAATACTGCCGCCTCGCGAAGCTTACGGTCTTGACAGAGGCAAGCAGGTAGGCGAGACGCGAAGACAGCCGGACCGTCCCGCAGAAACGAGAGACGGACGGCGCCCGGCCGACCCCGGCCGACGCTCCACGTCGCGGCACGAGACCCCCTGACCCCGGCAGCACGTGACGCCGAGCCGGGCCGTTGCGAAACCGGCGCCAATTGATGGGTTGGCGGGCGCGCGCGGCGCAGGGGCTGCACGTGTCGACAGCGGGTCGGTCCAGGGTCGGCCGTGCAGCGCGCCGCTGGACGGCGGCGCCACCGGCGGGCAGGGTTACCCAGAAGCCCGCCGCTGCCAGCCTGCAGCGGCGGACTGAGCATAGGCCCTAGTCGCAGCGAATGATTGGTGCAGTTCATGATAGCATGGAGATGATGGAGGTAATATCAAACCCAGTGCAGGCTGTTCAGCACTGCTTAAACTTACATGGTGCCCGGGCATGTCAGATGATGTCCAATGGCCCGGACGCCAGGTATTACTGGAATGCCTGATGAAGGTTGGTGCGCATTAGCACTTCAGCACTGCATGGAAAAAGCAGCCTTAAAGAGCGAGATATGCTGCCGAAGGACCTATCATATCCCCGGCTCCGGCCCGCCAGCATGTTTCGTCAGCGCCGCGCCCGGATGAGGGCCTCCGCAAGGTTCGAATGTAGCCGCCGCTGTCTGGCCGACTTCGCTGCAAATGGTGCGAACTCTTGCCGCACAGACACGCTGTTTCCGGGTCACGTGCCTTCGCGGTATACAGCGGAGCCTTGAGAGCCATTCCGGGAGAACCAGCGCTCGGTTGCATTCTGTAGTGCGGAATAGAATGCGAGCTTTGGTATGTGGGCTGCACCGCAGTCGCACAGGCGGAAAACGACAAGTCGGATTTCCCTTGCTCCATATGACTATGGGGCAGGCCAACAATCACCCATCAGGGTCAGACAATGATGAGCATCGCGAACTAAGTAGATAGTGGTGACGTTTTAAGCCAGGGGTGAATCTGGACGCGTTATACCCCTCACCTATCGTGTGCAATGCAAGGTTATGCCTACCAGATGTTGACGGGTCTAAATACACGCCATTAAGCAGACCCTTGGGTGACAGAGAGCGGCACGTTGGCAGACCTACAATGAGGCAATTCAGTGCTGGTGGGATACAATGTATTCTAGGCCTTGCACGGCGGATTACATAACCATTCGTCTCCCAACACAAACAGAGCCAAGGTGCCATTGTGAAACATCAGTTATGGCACAGGGTGGAGTTTCTGCATTCAAAGGCGCGCACCCGTCGGTGGTTTTCCTTTCGGGAAATTCTGGATGATATCAAACATTAGAGCGGATACAGGACACTTAATCGACGTACTTACTGCGTGAACTTAAGTACGTAAACCCACCCACTAATCGGGAAGGGTTTTCCCGAGCATTCACATAATAGAGCGCGAAACGTGCACAAGATCATTGCACATCCCGGTAGATCAGAATACGTCGGGCCAGACCGACATCAGAGCAAACCAGACTGACTATATGGAACATGCCGTTGTAATGAAACGAAAATATTTGAGCTTCTTGAGACTCGCTTCACTTATATTATTTCTTTTCCAGCCGCCAAATTTCAACACGCGCCCGGATGAGGGTCAATTTGACCCATCTTGGGAGGTCATTCCAGACTACCTTCCGAGCGATGTAGCCGCGCCGATCCCTGTGCAGCTGTAGATAATTGAAAAACCGTCCTTTTTACATAAAAACATTAGGTGTTCCTTGTAAAGCCACTACTCTAAAGCAGATCAAAATCAAGCCATGATTGCCAGCAGACATTTATAGGAAATCGCTCCATCTAAAACATCAACATAGTGTTAGAGAATTCCAGAATCTTCTAGATGATTTCTTAGACAATAAGATAACTAAATTTAGGATTTGGAGTGATTGCGTTGACCTCGGATTAGGTGCCAAGGTCAGATAGAGGTCAAAACCAAGCTGTTTTGTATGGGATAACTTGCCTTAAGAGATAGTTTTGGATGCCATTTTGAATTCATTGATTACAGGAACGTCACCAGACATATTATTTGAATTGCATTAAGATCAGAGGAGGTCGCTGACCCAACATGACCCCGAACAACCCTTTGTCGTTGGGAACATGCCCCGTAGCGAAGCTCTTGACGTTTTTTTTATTAAACAATGTGACAGTTGTATTGCCACCGTGGCTTTCTAAAGGTCAAATAACGTCACTGGCCTGAAATAAACAAGTGACCTTTCGCTTGGATCTGGAAAAAGGTGACTGCATGAGCAGGTGAGAGGGTACTTCGTACAATGCTCCGGAGTTTGGCATTATTTGACACAGGTCATAACCAAGGAGCTTAAAAGTTAACACAAGTGAGTCCACATACAGGCCACCCTACCCTGTGAATTGGGTATTTTGACTGTCTCACTTTTTAGACCTCAGAGGGTCAAATTGGGTCAGAGGGTCAGAGGGTCAAACTGATCGTGTCCGGTCACCCGGCAGCGCTATACGCACGCTGCGAGCATGTGCATGAATCGCGTTCGTGGCTGCAGGGTCGGTCGATATTGGGTTGGTGAGCTCGCCGTTACGAAACAGTTGGGATCAGTGGGACATGATTTTATCATGCTGTTGTCAGCATCGCGGCTTGTAGTAGGTCGATTTCAGTTTAAAGATCAAGCAGCCATACCTGCGAATGTCGTCTGCTTTCATTTCCTTTCTACCAGCGTTACCTTTGAATACCACACTAACACCTGCTGACGAAACGAGTGACTGGGTGCTTGACTGGGTGCTGGGTGCACGATGCTTTGGTTCAGCCACCCAACGAATTAGCAGAGCGAACTGATGTAATCCCTCCATCCCCACTCCCACCTCACCTCACCCCTGGAGGTGCATCAGGAGCGGTCTTAGCCTGACGGGAGTTGAACTGAACTGGACTGGACTGAACTGGACTTAACTGAACTGAGCCGAACTGACCTCGTCGTCGCCCGGCTCCTTGTCGTCGTCCGAGTCGGCTACCTCGGGCACCGCCTCGACCGGCTCGTAGTGCGAGTCGAGCGCCTCGTACAGGTGGCCGTCATCGAGCCACTCCTCGTCCGTCTCGCCGCCTGGCGGGGCGGGTCACGTCAGGTCAGCCGAGGTCAGCCACCAGCCCAGTCGGGGTCGGGTTGGCCGGGGACGGCACAGGCACGGTGTAGCGAGCTCAACTGCACATAAGCCTTTGGCATGGCCAGGCAAACGGATTTAAGCGAATTGACTAGCACTTGTGATCGAATCGATGACGATAAAATAAGCAGCATCCGGCTTATGGCTGAGGACGATGACGACTGCCTCGTTAACATGATGGCGTCCTTGACATTCACATACACGGCATGACTGCATAACACGAACTAAAAAAAAGCAGCACATTTGGTCTAGCAAGCACGGGAGAACAAAAATGAATCTGTTGTGCGTAGAACGACGGAACGCATCAAAAGGCATCGTCAGTGTTTTACGCATTGGAGGCACCCAGCAGATGGTGTCTGACAGCACATAAGCCTAGCAAGAACGCAGCACTCTTTCAGCCGATGCCCCGTGCGGATGGATGGCGATAAGACAAAATCAGGGCTCAGGGGTCAGGTGAGCTCTGGGACGGCACAATATCAGCAGGTAAAACTGCAACTGCCACTCCATCAAACGGACAGGGAAACAATGCAAGACGGTTTAAGCACGGGTGTGCACTCAGTGGCAAACATTGGTCGTCGGCCAGGCCACAGATAGCGTCCATAGCGTGACGAAACATCAGTCAGGTCGCAGGTAAACAAGACTTCGCTGGGGTAAACACGCTACGACGAAGCGGGTTGCAGAGACCTTCACCCTGCCCCTCCCCCCCCCCCCCCACATGCTCCTCCCCCGGGGGAGAGCGGGCATGTGGGATGCGGGGGGTTGCCGGGCGTCATGCTGGATGGTTGCCGGCGCCATGCCAGGCGCGACGCGTAATCAGTGTGTCAGGCCTAGGGACCAGAGTGCGCCGAGGTAAGACGGACTCCGGCAATCGATCCCAGACAGCAGCGTCACCACTGCCCGAGGGCAGGTAATTTCCCGTAATGTTTCCGTGAATCGACATCCTCTGGCCTCGACCGTCATGGAGGAGATAAGCGCCGGCCCTGCCTCCACCAGTGGTAAAGTGCTGCACGGCGACCGGCAACCGGGGAGCCCTGACTGCCGGCGGCGCCCGGGCGCTCTGACCAGCGGCGTCCTGGCCGGCGGCGCCCCCTCCTGTGGTGAGGTGCTGTGTGGTGACCGACCTCCGGGGCGCCGCTGTACGGTGCCTGACCGGTGGCACCCGGAGCCCTGACCGGCGGCGCCCCGGTCCCCTGAACGCCTGTCGTGGCCGCTGTACGGCGCGCGGCCTCCGAGGCGCCGCCGGACTCCTGACCGGCGGCGCCCCGGTGCCCTGACCGGCTGCGGTGAGCCGCTGTACGGTGCCCGGCCTCCGAGGCGCCCCGGACTCCTGACCGGCGGCGCCCCGGTGCCCTGACCGGCTGCGGTGAGCCGCTGTACGGCGTCCGGCTTCCGAGGCGCCGCCGGACTCCTGACCGGCGGCGCCCCGGTGCCCTGGCCGGCTGCGGTGAGCCGCTGTACGGTGTCCGGCTTCCGAGGCGCCGCCGGACTCCTGACCGGCGACGCCCCGGTGCCCTGACCGGCTGCGGTGAGCCGTTGTACGGTGCCCGGCTTCCGAGGCGCCGCCGGACTCCTGACCGGCGGCGCCCCCGTGCCCTGACCGGCTGCGGTGAGCCGCTGTACGGTGTCCGGCCTCTGAGGCGCCGCCGGACTCCTGACCGGTAATCGGCGGAACCGTCACGGGAAGTGGTCCGCGTCGTTAGCCTCGATCCCGTGTACGACAGAGTCAGGACCACCCAAGCCGACAGGCGGGCTCTCAGAGCGCCAGATGCTTGGTATGGCCACTGTCCTGCCATACGGCAGCACTCTGGCAAGTCTGGTCTGCCATTCGATGGACCGTTTCTCCCTAGCAGTGACCTTGAGAAGTCAGTCTCGCCACTTAGTGACATGCATTGCGTAAGTCCTGTGATCAAGTGGTGTCCCCGGCAGGCATCCCGGAACTGCTTCGCCAAGTGCCCCCTCAGCGTACCACTCTGGCACGGTGGCTTCTCTGTCCTGCTTTTAAAACGTGGCTAAGATAAATGTATATCATTCACACTTCAGCTGTGCCCTGGTGGTTGCAACACCGGCCGGGTACGCTCGTCGAATGGGCTGAAAGGAGAAAGTGGGCTCCCCCTGTAATGCGCGGGCCGACCGAGAATATCTGATCGGGACAATGACTCAAGACTCCGGGATTCAATGTTCAGTCCTGAGGTGACGCAGTTGTCAAGACTCGGCGGCGCCGCAGAGGCCAGGGGCAGCGGATACAATGGTCAGCGAGAGACCGCGCAAAGTTAGGCATCCACGAGCGGCGGCGATCGTCAGAGCGCGGCGCTCGAGATGTCCGTCTCGCCGGGCGGCGGCGGTCGTCGGAGCGCGGCGCTCGAGGACTCTGTCTCGCCGAGCAGCGGCGGCCGTCAGAGCGCGGCGCTCGAGATGTCCGTCTCGCCGGGCGGCGGCGGTCGTCAGAGCGCGGCGCTCGAGGGCTCCGTCTCGCCGAGCGGCGGCGGTCGTCAGAGCGCGGCGCTCGAGATGTCCGTCTCGCCGGGCGGAGGCGATCGTCAGAGCGCGGCGCTCGAGGACTCTGTCTCGCCGAGCAGCGGCGGCCGTCAGAGCGCGGCGCTCGAGGTGCCCGTCTCGCCGGGCGGCGGCGGTCGTCAGAACGCGGCGCTCGAGGGCTCCGTCTCGCCGAGCGGAGGCGATCGTCAGAGCGCGGCGCTCGAGATGTCCGTCTCGCCGGGCGGAGGCGATCGTCAGAGCGCGGCGCTCGAGGACTCTGTCTCGCCGAGCGGCGGCGATCGTCAGAGCGCGGCGCTCGAGGACTCTGTCTCGCCGAGCAGCGGCGGCCGTCAGAGCGCGGCGCTCGAGGACTCCGTCTCGCCGAGCGGCGGCGATCGTCAGAGCGCGGCGCCTGGGGCGTCCGTCTCGCCCCACATCAGTCGACGGTAGCGCGCCGGTAACCGCGAGGGATAGAAGCTTACAGCCCGCCGACACCTGAGCCATGTTTCTGCCGCTCGGGCGGCTGAGTCACGGCCGCGGCAGTGCCGCACCGCTTCCGGCGCGGCGGCGCTCCACCTGACGCGGGTGTGAGGCGTGGCATTCCCGTGCGACGGAAACGAGCGGTTCCGGCTGCCAATCGCCGCGAACTTTCACCTAGAGCCGATCTGTCGGAAGACGTGCCGGCATCCAATTAGAAACTGAGCCGCGGGTGTGGCGCGCGGGAAGCGACGCGGCGGCGGCATGAGCCGGGGAAGAGAGCCGCGGTCATGGCAGTCGAGCACGGACGGCACAGCGAGCAGAGCCGGCGGCGGTGATGAGCTGACAACAGGAGTAAGACTGAACACCAGGCAGGCGCGTAATCACACAAACAATAGCCTTGTGTGTTTGGCATTGTTGCGACTGTTGCTTTCATGGCGACAAAAGGAGTGCACGGCATGTGAAACAAGGCTGGCTGATGCGGGCGATCTGATCTGCACACCGGATAACATTATATCTGGCGACCAGCGCCAGACCTCGTGTGGCTGTGTTCTGTGCGTCGCCTATTGAAAAGCTCGCGCTGATGTTAAGGGGCTGACGTTCCAAGGAAGCTCAGTCTTTTTGTGACATCTAGAATGAGGATGAAAGTTATGATCTTCATCCAGTTCCCCAATGCATGGCAACGGCGGCCAGGCTGTTGTGATCGGTGTTATGCAGGCTTCGTCTCAATACCCCGAAACGCGTTGGCACGGATACTGATCTGTAAAAAACGCCATCTATGAACCGGTCGATCGTGAGCTCACACCGAAGGTAGCACCATGCCTGAACATTGCATTCATATTGCATTGTTCAGCATTGCATTAAACGTTTGACTGACCGCGAGAGGACAGCCATGGGTATCAGCCATCAGGATATTTTTTGGTGGTGGTTTCCTGAGCTTAGCATATACCATACGCTCTCGGGATGATTAGAGCATCCTGATACATTCCTGCGTCCCCGGAGGGAGCCTATTGAGTAAATAACACCATATTGCGCCGCCAATGAGAGGCGCGTGCGCAGCAGCCTGGCCGGCGGCAGGTGACGCGCGAGTCGGGCTCTAGCCGAGTCACTGTCGGCCCAGGCGGCCACCAAGGCCGACCGGTCGGCGGCACGTCCCGGCGCACCTTCGAGGGCCCGCCCATCCCCGCGCTGCTGCGCCGGCCGGCGCACGTACAGCGGCTCCCCGCGGGGGCGGGGGGCGGGGGGAGGGGGCAGGGCGGCCGCACGGGAACGCAAGGTCGGCCGACAGCGGCCGTGGAGGCTGGCGTTCGGCGTCCGTCCGCGCGTGGAGCTCGCAGCTCGGGGAGGCCGGCGCACGGAGACAGAGCTCACGGCGCACAGCCGGCGCACGGAGACAGAACTCACGGCGCACAGCCGGCGCATGAAGACAAAGCCCACGGCGCACAGCTGTGGCATGGAGACAGAGCTCATGGCGCGCAGCCGGCGCACGGAGTCATAACTTACGGTGTATAGCCGGGCACGGAGATCGAGCTCACGGCACATAATCGCGCACGGAGACAAAGCTCACGGCGCACAACCGGCGCACGGAGACAGAGCTCACGGCGCACAGCCGCCGCAGGAACAGCCGCTTCCCGTCTGCACCTTATCCACGTGCCAGTCAGTGTGCGGTTCAAACACGCCAGGCGTCTGGGACATGGGGTATTTGTTAGAGGCCTTGATGGCTGTAAACGCGCCAAAGATGTGTTTGACAACGGGCCACAAAGGTGATGGTCATGTGATAGAACAGGTCCGGACCGATCACACAATGACACTGTCAGCGGTCTCGTCCTATTTGGTGTACCAGATGACCTCGACTCGCGTACCGGTGCATCGGATAGCCTTCCCCAGTCTACCGGTGCATCGGATAACTTCGCCCCGTCTATCGATGCATCGGAGGGCCTCGCCCTGTCTACCTGTCCATCGGATATCCCCGCCCCGTCTACCGGTGCATCGGATGCCCTTGCCTCGTCTAAAGGTGCGTCGGATAGCCCCACCCCGTCTACCTGTGCACTGGACAACTTCGCTCCATCTACCGATGGATCGGATAGTTTCGCCCCGTTTACCAATGCATCGGATAGCCTCACCACGTCCACCGGTGCATCGGATAGCCTCGCCCCGTCTATCGGTGCATCGGATAGCCTTACCCCGTCTACCGGTGCGTCGGATAGCCTCAGCCCGTCTATCGGTGCATCGGATAGCCTCAGCCCGTCTACCGGTGCATCGGATAGCCTCAGCCCGTCTACCGGTGCATCAGATAGCTTCACCCCGTCTATCGGTGCATCGGATAGCCTCAGTCCGTCTACCTGTGCACCAGATACCCTCGTCCCCGTCCACCGGTGCATCGGATAACCTCGCCCCGTCTACCGGTGCGTCGGATAGCCTCGACTTGTCCAACGATGTCGCGAATAGTCTAACTTCGTCCACCAGCACCTCGGATAATATCGGACCACCCATTGGCATCTCGGACAGCCCTGAACTGTCCGCCGCCACCTGGGATATCCCTGAACCGCCTTCCGTGGTCAGCCGAGCCAGTGTCCGGTCGTCCGCCGGGCGCTGCCGTGCGCACGTCCTGCCCGCCCCGGTCGGACATGCCAACCTCTGGTGTGGGGCCGAAGCCGGTCGCCGGAACGCCCTGGACGGCGGGGTCAGGCGGGCGGACCGGTGCGCGGGGAGGCCGCGCCGACCACAGTGCCGCGCCACCGCCCGGCCTTCCGGTGACCTCCCGTGACCCGCGGTCGGCGGGTCGGCGGCTCGTTTCGGCCGCCGGCCGCCGTGCAGCGGACCGCAGGCTGGCAGAGCGGCGAACGTGACGCGCTGTATCGATCGGCGGCGTTCGCGGCGTGCCGCTGTGTATGTTCCGCATTGCGCGCCCCGCGTTATTTAACGTGTAGTTTGCACTGATGGGCAAGGCACATTCAGCTGATTATTCGCAACCCCAGTCACGACTGCCACTTCCAGCCTGCCGATTTGCCCTTCACGAAGCTCACCGCGTATGTGCATAGCGTCTGAACTTGCGTAGACAAAGAGCGCGAACGGGAAATGTCCACTGGTTAGCAGTGACGCATGCAAATTGCAGACAGACGCTTGTAGACAAAGAAACCACGGACCCTTGTGCAGCGCACAAGCGTATGTTCTAGGAAGCAAATTACGACAGATCACTTGCGAGAGTCGGGCGTATCTCTAGGCGCATCTTCCACTGCATCATCTGGAAACACACTACGCGTATCTCCCATTGCATCATCCGGAGACGCACTGCGCGTATCTCCCTCTGCATCATCTGGAGACACAATACGCGTATCTCCCGCTGCGTCATCTGGTGACAAACTATGCGTATCTCCCACTGCATTATCTGGAAACACACTACGCGTATCTCTCACTGCATCATCTGGTTGGCGCACTATGCGTATCTCCCACCGCATCATCTGGAGACACACTAAGCGTATCTCCCACTGCCTCATCTGGAAACACACTACGCGTATCTCCCACTGCCTCATCTAGAGACGCACTACGCGCATCTCCCACTACATCATCTGGAAACGCACGTCTTTTTGAGATCGAACCATTTATTATGTTTCCCCTACAACGTCGGGTAATTTTGAGTGCGTAAAAGTATACGCGTTGCGGTATGTATCAATACTAGCGATATTTTACATCCATTAACGATCGAAACACGCGCGAGAATTCAGACATTTTCGAAACGATCAATGAGCGATATTAAAGTGGTCATGTCAGTTTGGCCTAAAACGACCCAAACGAGTTAGCCAAGCACATTAACATCACATTGCAAACAGAGGTGGTAAGAATGCCATCAGGCTTGAGGTCCCTGTACGGACAGCACAAGCCTGTAGGGTTCTTTCGAAATAAAAACTGCTTGAAAGCTTGCTCGTGGTCCAGAAGTCGGTAAGGAAGTGTTTAAGAGCCGATTATAATGGAGAGCCAATCCGCGCCACGCTGCGCTCTCCAGAGCCAATAACCTCTCGGCGCCACAATCGTAAGGCCTCGCCGGATACGGTGCACGGCCGGTCGCGTGCGGTCTCTGGGGGCCTCCAGCGCGAGCGGACACCCAGCAGCTGTGTTTACATCACGGGGCCGTGACTCACGGCGAGTCGTGACTCATCGGGCCCCGGGCGCCGCTGAGTGGACGCGGCGCGGTCAAGACAGGGAGCTGACCTGGCCGGCACATCCGGACCGGCCCTGCGATCAGCAGCCGGCGGTGTCGCGCGCCGCCCCGGCCGCGCCGTACCGCGCCGGGCAGGAGCCGCTCCGCAGGATCACCGCAGGACGAGCCCCACCAGCCTAACCGGCGCATCGGGACTGGAGTGGCGCCCCGATCAGCATTAGCTGGCGGCGGAGCGCCGCTCAGTGCGGGCCAGCGCCACTAGTGTGGCACGCGCCTCACGGAGCGAGCCCCACCGCCGCAGACGAGAGAGCCCACCGCATGAGATAAAGAGGCCCGAACGCACGATATGCCCGCTGACGTGCTGGTGCGCCGGTCCTGAAAGAAAACGTCTCCAGACGGCCATACGCGATCTTAGATTTACTGCCGTACAAATATAACGGACCGGCATGTTTTTGCCAGTCGCCCATATTGGCGATTATCTATCTTCATACGAACGATAATGCCTACCAGTACCACAAAATACATATTTGAAATGTCCGGTCAAGGGTCAGTGGACTAACAGATAAACCACTCAAGAAGGTAAAGGTACGTGTAATAAGTTGGACGCCCTATTATGCTTGTGTGAAAGTGGAAAAGTAGGGTCACTCATCCAAACACTATATCCTTGCTCGATCTCCATCGACATGCCAGACCGGAATATGACTTACCTGCGCCAGAAGAAATGAGATAATCAGGCGTTATCATCTACTTTAGGTTGATACGGAAGTGAGAGCTGAAACCAAGCAAGTGGAGAGAGTCGGTATAAAAACGGGTTAATCACTGCCTAGAGAAGATGTGAGGAATGCCCACGAAAACAGGGAGAGGAATGAAGGGGCGATAGAGAGAAAGAGTGGGAGGGCTGGAACACACCCGCAGCCTTGAGCTCGCTAGCGTTGACCAACTGGTACCTTCCACGGCCATCGGCGTAATTTTGCCAACTCACATCTGGAAACGATAAGCTGGTCGTATATAAGGAACCCTTGTATAAGAAACACTTGCTACGCTTCGCTCGAGTAAGGCCAACACGAGTCTGAGTGCCAGCACAAAGACGCAAAAGACAAACAGCAGGCGGTTTTTGAGCTAAATGCGCGGAACATTGTGGCATAGGCTGTCCTGATTAGCTTTGTAAAGTAGTTACCTCATGGGATTTTCTTTCGACACAGTAACATTTCTGCCGCAGTTTCGGCTTAAGATTTCCGTCCTGGCAGGTGGATACTCGACAGTGGCACTTCCTCCACCGCAGTACAGTGGCCATGGTGTTGTCGGCGCAAACGCTATCAGCGCGCATTCTCCACGGTTTTACGGCCGAAGACAAAGCGCACGAGTAGCAATGTCTGAGTTGCTGGGATCTCTTGGGGTCAAACACTTTCTTATACAGATTCTTCGGCTTGGTCTAAGAAAACACGAAGTTAAAGAAAGTATTACGAGTTACTATATGGTAGGCTCAACCCCACAACACATGAGGTTCCGCCGCTGCATTGCATCTTAGCGTACGCCTGGTTACTCAGGCGTCTCTAAACGAAATACAAAAGCGTACAATCGCCTTTTCAGGGCACTGGAAAGCTTTCATTTGATAAACATCCGACGGCAGGTCAGCACGCGTGTCACCGCTGACCCAGCTGTTTACACCGACAGCGATTGTGACATGCCGACAGCGGACAGATGTCCATAGCACTGTCCTCAGCTCCGAGGTCACCATCAAGGACAAAGCTCGCCATGTTTAGCAACAGTGAAGACGGCTGGTTACCCCATCGCACGCCAGGCAGCCATCCCTGCTGGAGGCCGCTCGGCGCGGCGTCGAGTTGTAAAGTGGGCTCCATTTGGAGCCACGTGATCCTAGGATAACCCTGCATCGGACGTGTGGCAACATAGGGAGGCCGTTTCCAGATGTTTGCCCTGCCAGAGCCCAGCGCTCCCGCTCACATCAATAGCGTCAAGACGGGCGGAGAGCCCCGAGGCGGCAAAGATCCGGATCCGGTTCGGACTAGAAAGTGATCAAGACCTTGACACCAGGACCCACGGACGGCGCCGGCGCCGGCCGCTCGCGCCAGCGCTCACACAGCCGGCCAGGTCTGCTGGTGACCGGCGCGTCACGGTAATGAGCAGACAGGCGGGCCGCAGCCGGCCAGGTCCGCTGGTGACCGGCACGTCACGGTAATGAGCAGACGTGCGGGCCACAGCCGGCCAGGTCCACTGGTGACCGGCGCGTTACGGTAATGAGCAGACAGGCGGGCCGCAGCCGGCCCAGCGGCGGGCTGACTGGCAACGATAACAGCCACGCTGGCCACGCTGGCCACGCTGGCCACGCTGGTCACGGGGGCTGCCTTCGCGTCGTGAATCGTGGTGCCTGGCGATGCTAGTTAGGTATGCCAATTAACGGTGGTTTGACGAAAGTGAATTGTCATTTGGACCGGTCGCTGCTCTGAAATATGTTGCAGAGGCTGCTCATTTACCAACCGATCTTTAACAGTAAAGTTTAAAGCGTTAA